TTAATCAAAGTGTTTCGCGCGGGTAGTCGCTAAAAATTAAAAAGAAATTCAGACGATTGTGTAAAGGATAAACCTCTTGAAACAAAGTCCCAAAAAGGGGTGTTTTATTGATGAGAGTTACAATTGGAACTAAACAGAATGCCTCGAAGGGGCGCAAGCACACGAGCACTTAAAGAAAGCTAATTAAAGTTAATCTAAGAAATTAAAATTACATATTCTCTATTTGAGGGTGTTTGATTTGGGGCCATTCCTCTATGTTTATTCTTTCCTTTCATACTCCTATGATGACTTCTGCGTGACAAACATCTTGGAAACTGTTATCCATTTTCTTCATGGTGCCTAATTTCTCGTAGAACTGCCATCTCTAACTGCTGCACGTGTGGGCAAATGTGGGAAAATGTTTTGCTAAGAAAATATTGTGCATCAAACAAGTCAAAATGTAGGAAATGGAAAATCAATTCTTAGTTACATGGAAAAGAATGGTAATCAAACATAGCCTTAGTGTCATGTCAAGGAAATGCAAATTTATGTTCTCGACATATAACTTTGCTCTCTCTTTACTCTTACTGTTACTCCCAAGTCCGAACCCCTTTTTTACGTAGGCCGACTTGACTATTGGAGTGTCTACGACCACTTCCCCCACCGCTGAAAATCGTCTGTACACTCTAACGGTTTGTCCAAGTATGCAAGAAAGAGCTATGTGGACGTGAGATGAGTTGAGATCTGTTGACCACGTTATGACGTTACCTCTACAAAGAGTGAGGTCAACATTACTTATATGTAATTTTTTTTATATTTATGTTTATTTTAAACTCAAAAGAGAAATATTCGCTCATAGTTAAAAATTTTAAGTTATAATTAATTTTTACTTATAAGTAAATTTAATATCAATAAGTTAATTTTGTAGCTTTAAATTATTTATACACATAAGCGAATATTTTATTTATAAGTAAATTTTTATCTCATTGTTAGTATTTATATTTTATAATACTTTTTTTTTAAAGTAAATTTTCTCTTATAAGTAACGTTTTAATACGTAAATTTTTAGTTATAAAGTAATTTTTTGCTTAATTAATAATTTTTGTACTTATTTATTTTTATTCACAAGTTAATTTTGAACAAAAATCCGTGGGTTGAAAATAATTATTTTATAGAGGGTAGAATTGGGAGCGAATTTGAAAAGTAACAAAAATTCACCGATTTGGTGAGTTGAAAAATACAATCAAGATTACACAACACGAATTTTGGTTGGCTATTAAACCACCAAAAATTGATACCCACAAAAACTTAAAAGCGCCGATTTTTCAAATTTATTATAAACGATGCCACGTAAAAACAGTCAAAATCGATGAAAAAACTCCCAAACAGGCCCTCAGAGGTAAATTTGAATTAACTTTTGTATTTTGCAATTGGATAGAGAATGGGTCATTTTCATCACTTGTTATCCTAATGTATTTCCATTTGACCAAAATTCCAAGAATTTAAAACTTACTTCTCATCCATTCAAGTTAATTATTAAAACCAAAAAAAGGTTACTAGGCAGACCTGCACTAATTTGAATTGGTCGGCAATGGATTAAGGTTAATTAATGAATTTTAATGGTAGTGGTTTAACTTTTTAACTCTTTTATTTGGCCATTGCCAACTATTATCGTGCACAAAGGTAGGCACTAAAGTGCCATTAATCATGATTAGTGAAAAAAAAAGCAATGACTTAATCTACGTGCCATGTTTGGTACATCGTGTTGGGCTAACATATTATATTATTTTAATATAATATAACACGTGAAATGAATATGATAAATAGTGTATCGTTAATATCTAGAAGATAAGTGCATTATATTGTATAAAATTATACTTTTTTTTTTCTTTAATTTTCCGTTAATTCTCCTATCAAAAATTAATGTATTGTATCGTAAAAAATCATATATTTAATTTTTTTCGTTAACTCGACTGCTGATTAGTGTCACTCACCTTCACTTATCGATCATTATCAGTCGTCGATATTTTCAACTTAGTCGATAATTATCACTTACCTTTATTTGCCACTCAATAGAGATCGTCGTTGATTGATCACACCTGGTATAAATTGATTATGCCTCGTTGATGTGTTTGGCTAGAGCACGTTTGGTCTCAATTCTACAAAATAATCAACTTGTTTTAAGATATTATATTCAATATCGTCAAAAGAAGTTAGAGAATAAGTCAAGCATGCTCTTATAAACAATAGTAAAGGATAACCAATACTCAATGACTNCTGTATTTCGTGCTTCTTCCCCACTATTTTACTGTTCATCTCCTTGCTTCTCCACTATTTTTCAACATTAACACAACTGCACTTTGCACTCACTTCTCCCTTACATCTGGCACATAGGACGTCTTCTTCCTGCTGGGGTTCCTTCCCTTTGATGCGTTCGAAAACACTAGGGAGTGGCTCAGAGTCCTCTTCTCCGTTATCTATGACCAATTTGAACTTTGGCAACTTGTTTTTAAATCCAGTTGTCACCATATTCACTCCAAGTGGTTGTGGGAAAGGATTCTCATCCACTGCCATCTTCTTCTTATCTTCGAACGTAATTCGCCCTGATTTTTCAACTTTAAAAGTCGGCGAAAAAGCTTTAGTTCGCCCTCTTGATTGAGTATCTGGCTGACGAATGTTGGGCGATCTTCCCCTTCATTGCCAATATTTACTTTGACTAGAGGGTCTTGTGCTTGAGCATATCCAGGCTTGGTGATCCTCATTACTTCATCATCCATGTCTCTTCCAGGCACTTCTTCTTCTAAACAATCCACTTTGTTCACTTCTCGGTCGATACTTTGCTCCAACTCGAACACTGCCAATTTGTCTCCCAACACTTTCAAAGCTACTTCCTCTTTCGTCTTATTTTTGCATTTTTTATTGAAAGCCATTAACTTGACTTTGAAAGCCTGAATATCGGTCGTTTGCCTTTGAAAGCCTGAACATCGGCCGTTTGCCTTAGCTTGATAATTGTTTCAGTAACTGCTATTCCAGATGACCACAATATCTCACATATTAGGATTCTGAGTGACTCGAAGGCCTGAGCGAAAACGAGGCTGTCGTGCTGAGCGACAGTGAGACACTCCATTCGTCCAAATTCTGGGCGTCATGTAGGCTTGGACGATGATGTTACTGCATTCGTGGGCCCCTTCTGCACTTACCAACAATTTCATTTGGGCCTTTGTCCTGGGCCTCCAATTGGACTTTACTCTTTGGGCTATCCAATTCGGGGTATATTTTTAGTGTGTCAACAAAAAGTTTAGTGTTAGTTTGACTTTATTTTATATGAAAATTGTCCATTAAAGTGAATTTTTTTTTTTTTTTTTTTAAAATTATT